CATCTAAAGCAAAAGCAGCAGCCCCAGATGAAAAAAAAAAATGCAGTTGGAGCTGTCAGGCTATTATTGGCCTAGAGTCAAGCGGTCAGCCTGCACCCAAAGCCAAAATCTGCCAATTCCAGAGTAAGCAGAAAGCCCATAATGCCAGTTAGACGGTATTCATCCTTGTAGACAATTTTAGGCTCATCAATTTATGCTATGACTCATGCTTACTCATGTCATGGTTAGCCTGGGGAAGGGCTTCTGTGATTGTTGTCAGCTGCCAGTCCTCCCCCTCCCACTAACTTCTGACTCTTGGCCAATTTTAGTCACATCCAACAAAGGGCTGAAGGGCTTTAACACCGCAAGGTCCTACAACAGGTCGCCACAGGACATGGCCCAGGGGTTGACTGCAGCTCCTGAAGCCTCCGTTTGGCCTGCCAGCAGCTGCAAGGAAGCCAGGCTGTTGGGCTTGCCTGGCAGCCAAGAGGCAGCAGCCAGCTGGGCAATCCTAGCTTTGTAGGTTTGCCTAGCTTTGGGCTCTCACACGCTCGCTTGCACTACACGTAGTCTCTTATGCAGTTCATGGCAAACTACAGTAGTTGAGGGCTTGAGGGATGAGGGAAGTTGAGGGGAAACGTATATATGGTGTCTGCAGAATCAGAAAGGAACAACAAATTCAAAGCCCTGTAAAACCAGGTGTTGCAAGTCGTGCTGCTCACCTGTTACCTCTCTCTTCTCTGTACTTCTGTACTTTTCAAAAGTTTCTTGGACACAGTTGTTTCCCCTGTCTACTTCAGTAGCAAGTTCCACAGGTTTGTTATACCATAATATGCACAACGTAAGTCCTGTGTCATCTTTGATCTGTTACCTTTCAAAGTACCCTCTTCACTTATGTTCAAACATGGAGGTAAATGAACAGCAAGAACCCCTGCCTTCTGTGACAGCCACTGAACTTTCTGACAAACGGACTCTGGCTGCTGGATAGCAGTACAAAGGAGACATTCACAGTCTTTAAAGACTCGGGAGATTTCTGCACTGAAGAGCTTACTTCTGACTCACTCAGCAACATGTTTCCACTAAAGACAAACAGCTGGAATCACAGTAAAGCAAAGCACTACTTAATATAGGGCAGAATCAGTACAGGTGTGTGCCATCTTTTCACCTTCCTTGCACTGTGACATTCTTTGCACAGGTCCTAGTTAAAACACGAGCTAGTGTCTTCACAAGCAGTGGTTTCACATACAAGGCAAGCCCAATCTCCCATGCAGTCTCTCCAGTGCCACTCATACGGACACAAACTGGACTGGATCTTTGTCATACCTGGAGTAAAAACACCGGGATTGCAAATTCTGACTGACTGGGTCTCCAACAAAATCTCCATCTTCTTAAGAAACTTCGCTACTTGGATAGCACGGAAACCCAGATGAAGAACACTTCACTACCAGGCAGATCATCCGGTGGCTGATGCACTACAGCCATCTGCTGTCAAAGGACAAGCTTTCAAACAGTTTCTTGAACTTTGCCGCTACAAGTTTTCAGCATTTGCTAGTGGCAGTAGCTAGACTATGCATAGGGGTGTTGAGCAACAAGTGGCAAGCAAATAGGTCTGAATGTAATTGTGACAAATAACTTTCTCCATTTCGCCTTTGAACACTGAACTGACTGCTTTCAGTGCAGGGTTCTTGCAGCTTGAACTTGGAGAAATTATCTGCAAGCCCTTCGTCCAAATACCGGTGGTTCTTGCTGC